AACTGAACTGAACCCTAACCCCTAACCCTAACCCTAACCCTAACCCCTAACCCCTAACCCTAACCCTAACCCTAACCCTAACCCTAACCCCTAACCCTAACCCCTAACCCCTAACCCCTAACCCGAAACCCGAAACCCGAAACCCGAAACCCGAACCCGAACCCGAACCCAAAACCCGAACCCGAACCCTAAACCCTAAACCCTAACCCTAACCCTAACCCCTAACCCTAACCCTAACCCTAACCCTGAACTGAACTAAACCCTAACCCCTAACCCCTAACGCTAACCCGAAACCCGAAACCCGAAACCCGAAACCCTAAACCCGAACCCGAACCCCGAACCCGAACCCCGAACCCCGAACCCTAACCCTAACCCTAACCCTAAACCCTAAAACCTAAACCCTAAACCCTAACCCTAACCCCTAACCCCTAACCCCTAACCCTAACCCTAACCCTAACCCCTAACCCCTAACCCTAACTCCAAACCGAACCCCAACCCCTAACCCCCAACCCCAACCCCAACCCCAACCCTAACCCTCTAACCCTAACCCGAACCCTAACCCGAACCCTCGAACCCTCGAACCCGAACCCCGAACCCGAACCCTGAACCCCGAACCCAGAAGCCTTGAACCCGAACCCCGAACCCCGAACCCCGAACCCGAACCCTAAACCCTAAACCCTAAACCCGAACCCCAAACCCCGAACCCCGAACCCCAACCCCAACCCTAACCCCTAACCCCTAACCCCTAATCCTAACCCTAACCCTACCCTAACCCTAACCCTAACTCTAACCCTCTAACCCTAACCCTAACCCTAACCCTAACCCTACCCTAACCCTAACCCTAACCCTAACCCTAAACCTAACTGAACCCTAACCCTAACCCTAACCCTAAACCCTAACCCTAACCCTGACCCTGACCCTGACCCCTGACCCTGACCCTGACCCTAACCCCGACCCCTAACCCCAACCCCTAACCCCTAACCCTGACACTAACCCTAACCCCTAACCCCAAACCCCAAACCATAACCCAAACCCTAGTCCCTAGCCCCTAGCCCCTAGCCCCTAAAACTAACCCTAACCCTAAACCCTGACCCTGACCCTGACCCTGACACTGACACTAACCCCAACCCCAACCCCTAACCCTAACCCTAACCCCTAACCCCTAACCCCTCACCCCTAACCCTAACCCTAACCCCTAACCGTAACCCTAACCCCTAACCCCAAACCCCAAACCCTAACCCTAACCCAAACCCTAGCCCCTAGCCCCTAGCCCCTAGCCCCTAGCACTAGCCCCTAACCCTAACCCTAACCCTAACCCCTAACCCTAACCCCTAACCCCTAACCCCTAACCCTAAACCCTAAACCCTAAACCCTAACCCTAACCCCTAACCCTAACCCCAAACCCCAAACCCCAAACCCCAAACCCTAACCGAACCCTAACCCTAACCCTAACCCTAACCCTAAATGTTTGGCTACAACTCTTCAAACTAACCTTTCCAATTTTCTCACTGCTCTTGAACCTAATTGGGAGCGACTATACCAGGTCCTCTTCACCAGCCAGATGGCAGCCAAACTTCACCAACTCAAACCTTAGATACACATCTCACAGCTAAACAAGGCTCCACCCGACATCTGGTCCTGTACAAACACTGGAGACCTCCAAATCAAACTGACTACGAAGAGAAGCAGCCGCCGCATGAGGCAGACAGCTCTCCCAAGATGACCAGACCAGGCCTGTATACCTTTACTCACACTTGCTTCTTATCGTCTCCCTCTCTTTCCTGGACAGACAAGACTCTTATCTGCATTTCTCAACCCCTTGCAAATCCCTCTCTCTTCTTTTGATTATGGCCTTTTGGAAACAGCCTCATCAACAACGGTGACAAATTAATCTTTTCACTTGCTTTTTCTGAAGGGTTAGAAGGTTCAGAAGTCACAGAAATCTTTCTTTCATCTGGACTATTAACTGACTCGGGATTCTTATCCAAATTCACCGTCTCCGGATTTACAGCCTTACAGACTGTATTATTGGATGATTAGTTCCAAACACTTCTTTTGAGATAACGATACTGTTTACATACATCTTTGAAGTTCTGCTAATTTTGCAAAGATTTCATCAGCTATTCCTTCATGTTTATTCCTGCAGTCTTCATTCTCTCAGTTTAAGAATGCTTTACTTTTAATTGTTTTGTATAATTATTTTTAAGTTGTCTGTCAAACTTTTGATGCTGACATAATGCTTTGAGAGGATCTTCAATGCTTAAGATCTTGATAAAATATGGACTTCAGATTAAAAACGCCTGAGAGTTCTTCCTACTCCTCTTTGTTACTTGAACGTCGCCTCAATAGGTTTCCAATCTGTGCACTTTCCCTCCAACATGGGACACGACATCCAGGAAAGGTCCTTCCTGGCACCAAGGGACAAAAGGCCACTGAATCTGGAAAAACCTGACTCTTGATCAGCAATGCTTTCAGAGAAAGATCTTGATCAAAAGGGGAAAATGTGAAAATTAATAAAAGCAAATCTCATTTAAAATGGAATCAGGAGGCCAGAAGGGAGAGCCCTCACACTACCACTGGAGGTCAGTTACAGCAAAGGGTGTTAGAGACTCCAGCATAAAGAAGTCCTCCACAGGAAGAATCATCAATTACAGACTCCAATAGGAAGACCTGTACATCACATGCCAAACAGAAATCCAGGACCCCAGCAACTCAGCCAACGAGAATCCAACACCACCCTGAGCTCTTACTTTTCTCCAGGGGACTGGCTTCAAAACTACCCATCCCAATTTCCTCTTTTCCCCCATAAAACAACGTTCCCATCCTTTGTGGAACTTGCCTAGGGCTTTTGCTATAGCGTGTTTGTCCCAAATTTTGGTTCTTTGCTGTTCCCGAATAAACCTACTTTGCTAGTAAAATAACTGGTTTTTTTTTTTTTAGGTGAACAGTTGAAACTTTAAACTGTTGGTTTGCTGTCATGACTCCATTTGGGGCCTGTTATTTCTTTTTGTAATAATTCCCCGCTAAATCTGGTTCAGTCACGGCTGTCTTGATTCTTGGTTAATAACAAATGTCCACAAGTAGACACATGCACCCAAATGCACCCCATCAGAGAATTAAGAACTTTATAAATCACCTAGACAAACGCCTCCAACATATGCGGCCCCACCCCTCCAGTCTCCCAAAGGCAGCGTCCAAGCGCCCTCCACCGCCCCCAACGGAAGCTTCCGCCCCAACTCCCACAAGAGTCCCGGCCCCACACCTACGGACCACCCCCCACGCCCGAAGCCCGACCCCACGCCTACAACCCGGCCCCTACCACCGAGGCCACACACACACCCACACACCCACCCACACACCTGCAGACTCCCGCCGCCCCTCCACTCCCCGAGACCAGCGGCCACTTGAACCCTGACGCAGTCCCGGGGCACAAGCCCACCCCAGACTCCCTTGGACGCCCCAGTCCAGCACGGGCCGGAAGCCCACTCCCCGGCGGTACTCCCGCCCGGCACCGCGCTAGCCAGCCCGCGCCCCGGCGGGGTCCTTGGGGCCTTCGGCCGGGCAGCCCTCCTCGGGGTCCTTGCGCGGTTGCGTAGCAGCTGCCAGGACGCGGCCGACCCGGATGCGGGTGGGGAAGCTGCGTGAGCGTGGTCCGCCTGCCGGTCCGGGACTGGACGGGGGCCGGGGCTCGCGGGGGGCGCTGGCTGGGGGCTGCTGGCCACAGGTGGGCCGACCTGCGGCGTCCCTGGTCTCTCCAGCCCTCGCCCGGGACCGCACGAGAGGAGGAGGCCGCCCTCGAGGCGGGCTCAGCTTGTGGAAACCGCCCCTCCGAGGCCGGCCGTGGGCCCCGGGCGAACGGAGGGCCAGGGTGGGGAAGGACGGGCCGGTGGGTTCACGCGGCGGTGCGGGAGCGAGGCAGCCCAGCCTGGCCGCGGGGGCGGGGGGGTTCCCCCAGACACGTTTGGTGCCCCTGACATATTGAGTGAAAGACCTTGCCCGCTGGATCGCGAGGACAGCGACAGCCGTAAATGTCGAGCGTGGAGTGATAGGGCTGGGCTGGGCTCGCGAACGGGTCGCTCCGGCTACAGGGTGGAGGTGGAAGACACTCGGAACTAGTGGAGGTTGAAATAACACCAGAGAAGAGGGTCTGGGGAATGCCCGCCTTGAGGGAGGACGGGGCAGCTACTGACTGCGGTAGGGTGGAAAATGGAGGGGAGGTGAGAGGCGTGAGGTGGAGGGTCAGGAGTACAGGTTAGGCGTCTTTGGCCGTGTGCTCTGCCATTCAGTGATGAGCGCTCAGGCTTACAGAGCACTCTCTGCCAGTGTCTCACATTGATCATGTGACATGGGCACTGGTTATGGTCACTGTTTTACAACTGAGAAAACTTTTGTATGTGAAACTTGTAACTGTTGAACTGTGGCTTCAGCGTGGCTTTAGAATACTGTCTCTCCAGGTGGGAGTGGGAGGTGTGGCCCTGAGCATAGCTGCAAAGATGATAGGGTAAACCACCCTAAGAGGATCTTGGTGGGGACAAGATTACAACAGGGTGATGGGGAATAGAGAAAGATGCAAGTGTGTTCTTGGGCCCCGCTCTCATCAGCTCATTGTTTCCCTTGTCCAGGCAGATGAAGAAGTAGATTTGGTTGAAGCAACTTATCACTTTAACAAGAGACTTTTGATCTTCCCAGACAGTGACTAGACCCCCCTCCCCTGGGCTGAGCCCTTTTCTACAGCCAGGAGCCAATGGCCGAGGACAGAGCCAAATCCTGTGAGCTGGACCAAGAGAAATACGATGCTGATGACAACGTGAAGATCATCTGCCTGGGGGACAGTGCTGTGGGCAAGTCCAAGTATGTTGGGAGATTAGGGAAGAAAGACCAGGCCCAGAGTGGGTCTGGGTTATTAGAAAAATCCTGCGGAGGCACAGAGGAGCATGCTCCTATGGAAGTGGTGAGGGAGTAGTCTTGGCTGGAGCCCCGGCGTGCATGGGGGAGCGAGGGGCATCACATCAGCAGCTGTGCATGTTGGGGCACGGGCAAGTCGTAAGGACTGAGGAAGCTGAGCTGTTTCCATGAGTCCTGGCAGAAGGTGTGGGGCGGGTCACCCTAGAGACTGCTAAAGCAGTCCAAGGTGAGGCAGTGAGAACTGGGGTATTCCAGTATGTGGTGTGTGGGCTGAGGGATTGCAAGGTGGAGACAGTGGGAATGGAGAAGGAAAAGTGTGAGACGTGTGACTAGCACAACCAGTGACAGAATGAATAAAGATGATAAAGATGCTTTCCTGGAGGAACTCGCTGAGATTGAGAAGAGTGGATAGAAATGATGACTGAGTGTAATCAGCATAAAGATTAGTGTTTTCTTCTAACTGGCTTCGGTGCCTGTGTGCACGGGGGTGGAACTCCCCACCTGGAGAGTTGAAGGGAGGCCCTGGCAGCTTGTCTCTACGAGGTGTGATCCTGTTTGTCACTTGTGGGCTGCTGAGGGCACACACCTATTTCTGCCGTCACAGGATGAGGGTAGACTTGCCCCTGACCAGATGTCTGGTTTAGTCTCATCTCCCAGCTGCTCCAGATCCACGTTGTTTTCCACCTTCATCTTTTATTAACATATCCTTGGACTCAGGTAGCTGTGAACAATTCTCTAGGGGCCTTGCTGGTTTTTAGGCCATCTTCGTGAATTCACATTCTCTTTCTCTGCCCCACCCCAACACTCACACTGTAGCTCTAGTTTAGTATTTTACAGTTGCTTTGACCATCCTCAGCACCATGCCTGTACAGTGAAGGTGGGGATGAGTGTAGTAGTTTGGGGAGATTACTCAGTAAATAACACCCCCTTTTCCCCCACCCAGCAAACAGAGAACAGGAATGGCAGGCAGTGGAGAGCAAACTGTCAGCTTTATAACTGATAGACATGTTGGAGGACGTAGTTTGGTGTGCGATCCAAGGTGGCTACCCAACCCCTAAGTTCAGTGCCAGTGTCTTATAAGCCTCACTTAAAACAACAAAAAATAAGAATCTAAGCAGTTAACAGGACGTCAAAGATTATCACAGCGTTGGCCTCTACAACTACAACCTTTGGAAAACAAGCCAGTCTCCAGCAGCTAACAGTGTCTCAGGGAAAACGTTGTCCCAGAGACAAAGACCATGATGAAAACACAGTGTGTCTGAGGAGAGATGAGCAGGTGGGCAAGTCTTGGTTCAGTTTCACTGGGACTCAAGAATTCTGTGCCTGTTTTCAGTATCTCCAACTTGTGAATCTAAACTCAGTTGGGGGAAAACTATGAAGAGGTTAATTAACCCCTGCGTTCATCATAACTGGAGGGCATCTGTCTGTGCACAGCCTCCTCTGGGTAGTGGTTGTGAGGTGGTGCTGCCACCTTGCACGGCTTGGAAAGTTAGAGTAGTGGCAGCCCCACTCACCAGGCCTTCCTGGAAGTGCCTTCCTTTCTCATGCAGCAGCTTCATGCCGCTCCATTCCATTTCCTCTTTAGGCCTATTTCTGGCTCCCCGAGCCTCCCTTGAGGGTGGACTCCTCTGCTGCATGTGAGCGGCTGTCCTCAGACCTGGGCACTGCCTCCTGGGGAGGCCTTTCCTTCCCTCCTGCACGCGCCACCTTCCTGAGCTGGATGCTGCTGCAGGGAGATGTTCTCCCTGACAGCCGCATCTGACCTAGCCAGCTCATGACCTGAGTGTCCTGCCTGGCTGCCAGTCACTCGACAACAGCTGAGCACTACCAGGCCAGACCCTGTTCTAGGTGATGGATAAGAGCCCCTCCCTGAGTCCCCACTTATGCCCAGGCATTTTCTTCACGTTTTCTGTACCACTGGGACTGCTGACCAGACTGAGAGGTACCCATGCTCTTACTGTGGCTTCTCTGCAGCTCCAGAAGCCATCTTCCCCTGGGAGTCGTTTAAGGCTCTCCACCCCTTCCCTTTCTTCTTTTTATGGATTTCTATGGACCTCAGATGTTCTTTCTGCTTAATAACAAGACAAGGCCTTTTCTGACTCTGTTTGAGAGTAGTTAGGTCCAGGTGCATTGCCTTTTTCTTTGATAGCTGTCTAAGTGGGCCTTAGGGTCTCATTTTCCCCTTAATAACTGTCCATCATTGTGCAAAGAGGGCAAAGGCACACACTCGCTAAGGCCACATGGTGTAAGTACAAACTTGAGTCGACTGGGGGAAATTATGAGGAGAGACTACACAGCATGCCCCATGTCCCAAGCTCTTGTTATCCCTGAGGGCTGGGAGTAGATGGGCTGGATGCCTTGTGGAAAGGGCCTCAAGACAGGGATCTGGTGCCTATAATACTCTAAATATTTTTGGGAAAGGACTGTTTATGTGATTGTGTAGCAGTGGCAGCCTCCCGGGGCCTCCAGAGGGTAAACCTGCTCTGCTTTTGAACTCAGGCCTGCCAAGCTGGCTGTCTGCTAAGCTACAGAAAGTTGAGAGGGAATTTGTATCTCAGTCCTGTCGTCCAGAGGCCAAACTTTCCTTAAGAAAACCCCTCTCTGCCTTTGTTTGCACTCTTTCACTGCTCCTGCTGTGATGAGGCAAGTCTCGCAACCTCTGCTGTTCCCCCTCCGCTTCCTGAGCGCGTGATCTCTCCAGACAGTGTTCCAGGCACAGGTCTTTTTCTTACCCTCTGTGGCTGCAGTACTTTCATTGTGTGGTTTTCTACATCCATGTAAGAAGGTGGTGTATTTTCTTTATAATATGGGTTCTATTTCTTTTTAGTTATAAATGAAATCCACCCCCCTTTTACAATGGAAGCTGCAGTTTAAATCTCAGAAGTGTAAAATCTTGGCTAGAGTGTATTAAATTGACAGACAGATAAGGAGTGACCTCACAAACGTGGGAAAAGAGCAGTTGCAATGTAGAGAGTGGTTAGGGCAGGCCAGTGTTTACAGGGGACGTAGAACAAAGACTTGAAGGAGGCAAGCAAACGAGCCATGCAGATATCTAGGGGAGGAGCATTTCAGCAGGAGGAAATGGCTAGTGGCTGGAACAGAGGGAGCAACAGAAAGAGAATGGGAGAGAAGAGAGGAAAGGGAAGAGTCAGTGGTGGTGCTGGAGATCTGAGGAGCTTGATCTGATGGGAATCAGATGGGAAACCATTGGATGGTTTGAGCAGAGGAGTGACTTAAGTCTAATTTTTTTTTTTTTTTGAGGAAGATTAGCCCTGAGCTAACATCTGTTGGCAGTCCTCCTCTTTTTTGCTCAGGAAGATTGGCCCTGGGCTAACATCCATGCCCATCTTCCTCTACTTTATATGTGGGACACCACCACAGCATGGCTTGATAAGTGGTGCGTAGGTCCGTGCCCGGGATCCGAACCTGCAAACCCTGGGCTGCCAAAGCGGAGCACGCGAACTTAACCACTATGCCACTGGGCTGGCCCCCAAGTCTAATTTTTTAACTGGATTAGTGACCACGTTCTGAATAGATATTCATCTCAATAATCAATAGATCAAGCAGGGAAAGAAGTAGTAAAGTGATGACGCATTTAAACAACACAGTTATCAATGTTGATCATTCATGTATATAGAGAGATATATTTAAGAGTTTCTATAGGGAATTTTAATTTTGTGTTTCACTGACGACTGATGATATTGAGCACCTTTGCACTTATTCGTACTTATTGGCCATTTGGAGCTCCTCTTATGTGAAATGCCTGTTTAGGCCAGCTGCCCATTTTTATTGGATTGTTTGTAGGAACATCTTTATACCTTCTGGACCTTCTTTCAGTCTGTGGCTTTTCACTCTATTGTTAATATATTTTGATTAACAGAAGCACTTAATTTTAATAAAATCAATTTAATCTTTGAAAAGATTGTTAAATTAAAAAAACTATTTAAGCTTTATTGAGAGGTAATTGATATATAACATAGTTAAGGTGCACAATGTGATGATATGATACACGTATATATTGCAAAATGCCTATCACATGAGGTTAGTTAACACATGCATCACTTCACATAGTTACCTTTTTTTGGTGTGTGGTGAGAACGTTTAAGATTTACTTTCTTAGCAACTTTCAAGTATATAATAACAGTATTGTTAACTATGGTTACCATGCTGTACAATAGATGCTCAGAACTTAATCATCTTATGACTGGAAGTTTGTACCTTTTGACCAACAGCTCCTCGTTTCCCCCACCCCTCAGCTCCTGGCAACCACCATTCTATGCTGTTTCTGTGTTTGACTTTTTGAGATTCTATAGAAAAGGGAGATTGTACACTATTTGTCTTTCTCTGTCTGACTTTTTCCATTTATCATGGAAAGGTTCATTCATGTTGTCACAAATGGCAGGATTTCCTTCTTTTTTATCGCTAAGTAATATTCCATTTTATACACACATGCATATGCATACCTCATTTTGTTGCGCTTCACTTTATTGTCCTTCACAGATATTGTGTTTCTTACAAGATCCTCCACCAGCAAAAAGATTGACTCGCTGACTGCTCAGATAATGGTTAGTGTTTTTCAGCAATAAAGTTTTTTTTTTTTTTTTTGTGAGGAAGATCAGCCCTGAGCTGACATCTGATGCCAATCCTCCTCTTTTCTGCTGAGGAAGATTGGCCCTGGGCTACCATCCATGCCCATCTTCCTCTGCTTTATATGGGATGCCGCCACAGCATGGCTTGACAAGCGGTGTGTCGGTGCGCGCCCAGGATCCGAACCTGCAAAACCTGGGCCACCGCAGCGGAGCGCGCGCACTTAACCACTGCACCACCAGGCCGGCCCCTACAATAAAGTATTTTTTAATTAAGGTATGTACGTTGGTTTTTTTTGACATAATGCTATTGTATACTTAATACACTACAGTATAGTATAAACTAACTTATATGCACTCGAAAACCAAAAAATTTGTATGATTTACTTTATTGTGATATTTGCTTTCTTGCAGTCGTCTGGTGAACCTATGTTCACTTGAGAAGAATGTGTATTCTGCTGTTGTTGGGTGGAGTATTCTGTATATATCTGTTAGGTCTAATTGGTTTATAGTGTTGTTCGTGTCCTCAGTTTCCTTGTTGTTCTGTCTGGTTGTTCTACTCATTATTGAAAGTGGGGTATTGAAATCTCAATATATTATTGTGCAGCTATCTATTTCTCCCTTTAGTTGTGTCAGTGTTTACTTCATATTTTTTGAGACTCTGGTGTTAGGTGCATATATGTGTGTAACTTTTATATCTTCTTGATAGATTGAACCTTTTATCAGTATATCCTTCTTTGTCTCTTGTGACTTTTTTGACTTAAAGTTTATTTTGTCTGACTGTAGTATAGCCAGTCCAGTTCTCTTTTGGATAATATTTGCATGGAATATCTTTTATCATCCTTTTGTTTTCAACTTCTTTGTGCCTTTGTATTTGAAGTGAGTCTCTTACAGACAAGCGCATACATGGATTATGGTTTTTTAATGTATTCTGCCAATCTCTCACTTTTAATTGGAGATTTTTATCCATTGCCATTTGCAACAATAATTAATTACTGATAAAGAATTACTTATTTCTGCTATTTAGCTATTTGTTTTCTGTATCTTCTGTTTTTTCCTCAATTTCTCCATTATTGCCCTTTTTTTGTATATAGTTGATTTTTGGTAGTGTACTATTTTGATTCCCTTCTTCATTTTTTGTATAATTATTTAGTTTTTTCTTAGTGGTTACCTTGGAGTTTACAGTTAATATCTTAAACTCATAACAACCTATTTGAATAATACCAATTTAGTTATAACAGTATATTATAGTATTATATAGTATATATATATACACACACACACACTCTCTCTGCTTCTAGATTTCTCCATCCCTCCCCTTTATATTGTTTTGTCACAGATAACATCTTTATATGTTAAATGCCTATTAACGTAGATTTGTAATTATTGTTTTATCTATTTGCCTTTTAAATCATATAGGAAAAAAGAGGAGTTACAAACTGGAAGTACAAGAATACTGGCTTTTGTATTTACTGATGTGGCTGCCTTTGCTGGAGATCTTTTTTTTTCGTACGACTTTGAGTTTCTGTCTGGTGTCCTTTCGCGTCCGCCTGAAGCACTCACTTTAGCATTTCTCATAGGGCTGGTATCCTGGTGATGAGCCCCATTAACTTATGTTTATCTGGGAGTGTCTTAATTTCTCCTTCATTCTTGAAGGATACTTTTCTGGGCATAGCTGATGGTTTTTCCTTTCAGAACTTTAAATATGTTATCCCACTGCCTTCTGACCTCAGTGGTGTCTGGTGAGAAATTAGCTGTTTATCTGATTGAGAATTTTTGTCTTTGGGTTTTGACAATTTGCCTGTAATGTGTCTTGATGGGGACCTCTGTGAGTTAATCCTGCTTGGAGTTCACTGAGTCTCCTGGGTGTGTATATTCATGTCTTGCATCATATTTGGGAAATTTTTAGCCATTATTTCTTCAAATATCTCTCTGCCCTTATCTCTCTCTCTTCTCTTTATGATGCATTATGTTAGTATGCTTTATGTTGTCCCACCAGTTCCTTGGACACTGGTCATTTTTATTTGTTTTGCTTTCTGCTTCTCAAACTAGATAATTTCAATTGCCTTATCGTCAAGTTTGCTGATCCTTTCTTCTGCCTGCTCAAGTATGCTGTTGAAACCCTGTAGTGAGTTTTTCATTGTAATTATTGTACTTTTTAGCTCCAGAATTTCTGTTTGGTTCCTTTTATACTTTCTCTCTCTTTATTAATATTATCATTATGTTCATATATCGTTTTCTGATTTCCTTTAGTTCTTTATCCATGGTTTCCTTTAGCTCTTTGAGCATATTTAAGATAATTGATTTAGCATTTTTGACTAGTAATCCCAATGTCTGGATTTCTCCAGGGATTGTTTCTGTCAGATTCTTTCTTTCATGTAAATGGGATGCACCTTCGTGTGTCTTTGTATGCTTTGTAATTATTTTGTCAAGAATTAAACAGAGTATTTTAAAGTGGTAACTTTGGAAATCAGATACTCCCACTCAGGGATTGCTCATTTCTGCTTGTTTAGGGCTGGAGCTATCCATTTGTAACTTTTCCACCTATTTGTGCAAAGTGTATATTCGTTGTTTTGTGTGGTCACTGATGTTTCTGTTCCAATATCTGTGGTCAGTGACCTGACAAAGATTTCCTTAAATGTCTGGCTCCAAAAAGGGAAAGAAAAAAAAGGTGTTTCTATCCATCAAAGTCTCCAGTCAATGCTAGCAGGGACAGTCTTGGAGGCCTGAGAAGGCTCAGACCCGGTTCCTCAGGGATCTACCCAAGTGGTCAAAACATGCAACCCAGACTTTTCGAGGGCAGTCTCTCTACTGCCCTGACACCAGCCAGACACTTGGAACACAGGTTACTACATCATTGTGGTGGGACTGAGGAATAGTTGCTGGTTTGTGCGTGTTGTTCTTCCACCCGAGATCAGCGTTGTCTCTTGTCTCCTTTCATCTAGCACTGTGCTGGTTTTTATGTGTCCAGTCAGATTCCAGAGTTCTGAAATAGTTGATTCTGATCATTTTTTTCTAGGTTATTGATTGTTTCAGTTGAGGGATTGACTCCTACAATTTCCCCCTCCACCATTTTTTTTTTTTTTTTTTTTTTTTATCTCTTGTCTTTTTAGATGAATATTGTTTAGATATTATTAAAATT